AAGATACACATGGACCAACAAGATGGGCTTGATGAGTGGCAGATACACATGGACCAACAAGGTGGGCTTGATGAGTGGCAGATACACATGGGATTGTAGATGATACACATGGGATTGTAGATGATACACATGGGATTGTAGATGATACACATGGGCCAACAAGGTGGGCTTGTAGATGATACACATGGGCTTGTAGATGGTACACATGGGCCAACAAGGTGGGCTTGATGAGTGGCAGATACACATGGGCTTGTAGATGATACACATGGGCCAACAAGGTGGGCTTGTAGATGGTACACATGGACCAACAAGGTGGGCTTGATGAGTGGCAGATACACATGGACCAACAAGGTGGGCTTGATGAGTGGCAGATACACATGGGATTGTAGATGATACACATGGGATTGTAGATGATACACATGGGATTGTAGATGATACACATGGGCCAACAAGGTGGGCTTGTAGATGATACACATGGGCTTGTAGATGGTACACATGGGCCAACAAGGTGGGCTTGATGAGTGGCAGATACACATGGGCTTGTAGATGATACACATGGGCCAACAAGGTGGGCTTGTAGATGGTACACATGGGCCAACAAGGTGGGCTTGATGAGTGGCAGATACACATGGGCTTGTAGATGATACACATGGGCCAACAAGATGGGCTTCACGAGTGGCAGATACACATGGGCTTGTAGATGATACATATGGACCAACAAGGTGGGCTTGATGAGTGACATACACAGAGGCTTATAGACGATACACATGGACCAACACGGTGGGCTTGATGAGTGGCAGATACACATGGGCTTGTAGATGATACACATGGTAAAGAAGATGGGATTCATGAGTGGAAGACAGGCACAAGAACTGTCCCGACCCCCCCCCCCCCCACCATATGACTTGATCCCAAATGCTAGCATACAGTTTTATCCCCAAATTTCTGCACACAGCTTCATCCCTAATACAAGAATATCCCCTATACTAGAAGATGGGCTTGATAAATGGAAGATAGGCTTAAGAATCTGTGGGTAAGCCTCTTAGTTCCCCACCCCATACTAGCGTACAGCTTCATCCCAAATTTTAGCATAGTTTCATCCTGAATACTAGCAGATAGATTCGGCAAAAAAAGACAAGTCAACAAAATTAATTCAATCCACGAAAATTAAATATATATAATAAAGCTAATAAATCAACTATTGGAGACTAAAACTTTCCAGACATGAATTGTAATGATTAAGAACACTCGGAAACTACTAATAAATTTTACACTTAATATCGACCGATTTAAGTGGAGGGTCATAGATTTAAAATTTAAAAACCTGAAGTAATTTTAAAAATAATTCCAGAAAATATAATCTTTAAGCAGAAGTAAGAGTAATTTGCTTGTAGGAATAATTGATTCCCCAGGTAAGGAGATTAAAATAATTGAAGTCCTCTCGGAATCAATTCTGCCTGATTGATTGGACCAAACGAGCAGAGTGTTTAAATTGACTGCTGTACCATTTGGAAATACAATTTGTTCTCATTATTGCTGGACCCTAATTGATTCTTTATTGCCTTTTACCAGGTGACAATGCAGGAAAATAGAACCGGCACCACCAATAGCATACACCTGATCAATAAGTGAGGGGGGGGGGGGGGGGTTTAAATTATTTTTAAGGGAGGTGGGGATATTTTGGGAAGCACCAGAAAAGGTGTAACAGAAATATATGAGTTCTTAATATATCTTGAACCAGTATCAAAATAAAAATATAGAATCAGTATGTTTAGTAAAAAAAAATATAGTGTTTTTAAAATAGTCACAAAAAGCTCAATAAATCACTGCAATCTAAAATAATTGAATTACAGTCCCGCAGTAGATCATGAAATAAATTTCAAAACCTGGCAGTGATCCACAAACCCCTTACTGTTTACAATAGTCCATAAAACCACACACAGCCTTATGTAGGTAGCACACACCTCCCCACAAAACACAAGTTTTATTACTTCTCTCAAGCAGACAAATTAGCAGTAAAGAAAGGATATCGTTCACCAAGGTAATCATACTTTAGATAAATAAGTAGAAAGAAGGGCAATACAGTAATACAGCTGGTAGGACAAAGTTGGACAGGACTAAACCTGAAGTTGTAGAACATAAAACATATTGTTGTATCAAGTTATACAGTAGGACTGAAGCACACAATATTATACCTCAAACAAACTTTTAAAAGGCAATGATATAGTATATGGAAGAAGCAGTGTTGCTAAGATTTGTAGAAAGATATAGGATATGGATGAAACAGTGTGGATCTTAGATCAATAGAATGATATGGAATATGGAAGAAGCAGTGTTGTTTATAATTGTAGAAAGATATAGGGCATGGATGAAACAGTGAGGATCTTAGTTCAGAAAAACAATATGGAATATGGAAGAAGCAGGACGGATCTTAGATTACTAGAAAGATATAGGATTTGGAAGAAGAAGAAGCAGGACAGATCTAAGATGAGCAGAAAGATATGGGATATGGATGAGGCTAAGATCAGTAAAATGATAGTAGATAGAACTGAACAGCTTGGCCTGTATAAGAAATCTGGACCAGGTCCAACGTGGGTTCAGTACAGAGAAATCAAAAACTGTGACATAACACCAGAAATAATTGCCTCGGGTAGGTGAAGTGTTTATAAAGTAATATAAGGCGTATCAGGTATCCCTAAACACACCCACCCTTGATGGCACGTACCTGGACAGAAAAGGTCAAACAGGTGAGAGACAAAAGAACATGGGTATACCCAACATCCAGCCATGGAAGAAAGAGAGAAAAAAAACAGTAATTGACTACATGACCTTTAGTAGAAGGCAGTTCTGGTGCTGTTTTCATATTGATTATTTTTATTAACATTGAGGATATTGATTGCCTCTCCCCAAGACAAAACAGGGTGCATATTTAAACAGCCAACATGCACCAATAAAGCATGAGGCCCACGCTCTAAACACAAAAGGTATGCTTTCTGTCAATGAGAATCAAGATCGCACAACAAAGACTGGTTCTCACATCTAAAATTACTCAGTTCAAACAAGACTATCTATACATACACAAGAACAACTATACATATGTATAAAACAAGGTAAATAAAAAGTTTAACGTTCATTACGGGTCATGTTAAGTATGATGCAATAAAGCTACAAGTGTCTCAAGCAAATGAACTGATCAGAACAGGACAATTGGGTTAAAAATGCAGATATCTTTGAACTTAATTGGTTTAAAAAATGCAGATGAACCACCCGGACTAAACGATGTGGGTACTTAATTCCAAGATTAACATAAACTATTGAGTATATCAAAGGTACTTAAAAGGTAATGCAGGGAAAATTGTTGAATGAAGTAGCTGGATAAGAAGCAACATGTGTTGAGGGCAGTGTTTCTTCCAGACTTTTTTCTCCGGGGGGGCACTTGAAATCTTCGGGGGGGCGGTAAACTTTCTTCGGGGGGGCGGACACTGTTAAAAGTATATATTTTCTATATAAATTATATAAATTTCATTTCGTTCGGGGGGCGGTAAAAATTTTTCGGGGGGGGCTTCGCCCCCCCGAAGAGATGCCTGGAAGAAACTCTGGTTGAGGGCTGAACTTTTAATGCAGCACTTACAAATGTTAAGTGCACTAAATTTACTGTGAGGTTTGGCCTTGGGTTCAGGATATAAAAACAATTTAGCTTATAAAAAAAAATGCTATAAATAATGCAACTATGAGCCTGACTTTTTGCATAATACAGGCTGCATCTATCTGATCCTAGTTTTTATAAATAATTGGACAAGATAGGCCTAATTATAATTAATTAATAAACTTTGCCTAATTGGTAAAAAAATTGAAAGGGATATGTGTAATATAGTGTTAAAGCTGATACTCCTCTCTATGTCAGAAGAATTAAAATAGTAACACTAATCATCATTAGGCCTAAATCATAAAAATAAAAACACCAGATTTTTTTGTTTTGTTTGTTAAAAGCAAAAAGAAAATAGGCTATGTAATATGATATTTGTGCCTAGATTTCTAGATTTGAATTTTCACAAGGTAGCTATTTTGTGTGTGTGTAGTTAGGTTTTGACAAAACTAATGCAGCATAATTAATTATAAATCATAGATAGATCTAGATTCTAGATAGACCTCTAGCTTCTAGATTAGTAGTCAAAGTTAGGAGGGCAAACAAAAACGTCTTAGATTTAGTCAGATCTAGAAATCTAGATCTTAACTCTGGACCTAAACTAAATGTTTCATAGTATTACTAAATTCTAGATCTAGATTTTTAGATCTAGAATCTAGATTCTATATGCCTATCTTATAGACTCTAGACTAAAATCTAAAAGACATTTAGATCTAGATCTTTAGTAATACTAAAAAAAAAAGGCCTTGGTCTAGCTAGACTGTCAGGCTAAAATTAAAAATATAATACTGGTCAAAACAGGTTAAAAGTTAAATAAATAATAAATAATATTAGAATCTAGATCTAGAATCTAGATCTAGAGTCTAGATCTAGGTCGAATGCAATATTAACTTAACTTGAATCGAGCCTAACGAAAATGTTATTGACACAGAAAGCGGAGAAAAGAACAACTAAATTTACTAAAAATTTGAATGTAGAAAATGCTTATGCGAGATAAAGAATAAAAGATTAAGTAAGATCTACTTTGGGCCTGAGTTAGACTTAAAATTTACCTAAGTTTACGTAGAATTGATATTTAATGAGCAGTTTAAACTTAAACAAACATGCTGCATGAGTTTGCATAATGCGTATTGATCAAAAAAGTTTTAAAGGTAATCAAGATCTATCGCAACAAAGAAAGAGTAAAGGAATTCTTCTCGTTCGACGCTTGTGGCCTCGCGTAGGAAAGTACCGAAGCCTGCGAGTTAGATACGTCTTGGAGGCCCCTGCAGTAGCCCGATCGAGTGTTGGAATTCTTTCAGTAAAAACAAAACAAACTAGGTTAAAAGTATATTAAAGTTGTTCAGGCACTTACCAGAATCCCTGTTTAACTTTTCATGGCATAGTCCGATCGAAATAAACACGAAAACACATATGAAACAGTCTTGTCTACAATACTCATTGATGCTTCTGTTCAAAGATGGCGGTGAAACACGAGTTTTACCGAAAACACCCGAGAGCGTCCAAAGGTATCCGGAAACACAGTTTGGCCCAGAAATAAAATCCCGCCCAAAAATAAAATAAAAATAACTCGAGGGGGGAAGGGCCAAATATCGTCTGCTAGCTGCTCGGCTGTAGAAAGGTGGAAAAGGGGGTGAGGTTTAGCTTGGGCTTAAAACCAGAATAAAAAGTTGGTTGGGTTTGTATTGTGTAGTTCATATTCTTCGTAAATCTTGTTGTTTGCTTTAAATCTAGATTTAAACAAGTATGCGCATTTCTCTCATTTTACTTTCAAAAAATTCATCGCGAACTTAATCGCTCTATGCCTTTAAAAAATTGTAAAACTTTTTTTTCTAGCAACGTTTGATTATTTTTTTAATAGTTACATTTAAAGACTAATACCATAATCTGTCTTTAAAAAAAATCTTCATGATTTAAAAAAAATATTTACAACGGAAGTTTACCTTTGTTGTTTATATTCAGGCCTACTTTCTCTGCATTTATAGACATTTAATAAACAAATCGGCCCCGTACACAAATTGAATTAAAATGTCAAAGATTAAACTGGCCATCATTAAAAAAAAAAAAAAAAGAAACAAATTCGAGTTCTATGTGACGTATGAGCAGCCGAGTTTCATTCAGGCATCCCAAGGGAGAGGGGGGGGGGGGGCGAAGCACGTCTACCGCCTCCTTCCCCGAACAAAATAGAATTTATGTTCCCCACCCACCCCTCGAAGTTTCTCACCCCCCCCCCCCCCCACCCCCTAGCGGAGAAAAACGTCTGATAAAGAACACTGATGAGCAGATTCTTAAGTCACACATTAGGTCGAAGTCAAACCTCTATTAAATCAGGTCCCTAAACTAAAGGTAAATATTTACAAGTTGTTTTATTTTCCCAGAGGCGTAGCGACCCTTCCCGTCGCCCGGGGACAAACTTTTCGATTTGCACTCCCCCCTCAAGATTTCGATTTTCACCCCCCCCCCCCCTGAAACTTTCGATTTGCACCCCCCCCCCTCGAGATTTCGATTTGCACCCCCCTCGAGATTTGCACTCCCCTCAACCTTTCAATTTATTTTTCCATCCCATTTTGGCGCCCCCTAAGGTCGGCCCCCGGGGACATATGTCCCCGCCCCCCGTCCCCCTCGCTACGCTACTGTATTTTCCTTCTCTCCACAACGGTACAACCTAGTGTAATCATTAGCAAATAGCCAGTTTAAAAAAAAAACAAAAAAAAAAAACTACACAACAGTTGAGCGACAGTGGCGTCGTTGGGGTTGGTGCGCCACTGGTGAGGACTTAGAGGTCGTCCATAAATGACGTCACACATCTAAGGGGAGGGGGCTCGTTATTTTGTGACAAGGGGAAGGGGTGGGGGGACAGATAGTATGAAGTCACATTTTTTCATTTTAATAGAGTAATGTTAGCCATTATTCCTCGTTTTAAACAGGGGAGGGCTGCCGCCCCGGGCTTGAACCCAAGGTGGGCGCCAAACACGGGAAGTACAAAATAAAAAGACGTTCGTTTAAATTTTAAGAAAATAGGCTACACCTTGGCGTCCTGAATTAATGTGTGTGATGGAGGGGGGGGGGGGCGCCAGCGTGAATAACCAAGTTGAATGGAGGGGGGGGGGGTGCAATATTAATAGTTTTTAAAAATAGATGTGTAATTGAAATTGACTAATTGACTTTATTCTGACCGAGCTTTGTAGTTTTGAAAGAAAACGATGTTTACAACAATTAAACTAATTAAACTGCTTTTTGGGGGGGTTGAGGCGAACATCATTTTAGGGGGGGGGGGGGGTCTGACTTATAGTGACGATGCATGACGGTGGGGAGAGTGGAGGTAAAGATCGTAAAAAAAAAACCATGACGTCATTTATGGATAAACCAATGGACATATCAGGCCGATTGGTTAGTGGCACCCCTAATTACAGTACCGGACTACATCAGACCTCGTGACGCCACTTAGCTACCACCCCGCTTTCTACCAAATTTTAATTTACTAATTTTACAGAGCTGAATTGGGGGCAACGTTTCCTCTAAGGGGAAAAAAGCTAGTATGCAACAGAGGCGTAGCGACCCTTCCCGGCGACAGGGGACAAACTTTGAATTTAGCGCCCCCCCCCCATATTTTTTTATATTTATAATGCAAAACTGCAGCTAAAATCAGCTTTTAATTTTTTTTAAACCCATTTTGGCGCCGCCTATGGCCAGCGCCCGGGGTCATATGTACCCCCCCCCCCCTGATAATCCTCTGGTATGCAACATGTATTTTTGTGTTTCTTCCAGACATTTTTTTCTCGGGGGGGGGGGGGGGGGGGCGGACTAAAATTTCCCCTGAACGAAATGGAATTTATAGAGAACATATATACTTTTAACAGTGTCGTTCCCCCCCCCCCCCCCCCCCCCCGTAGACTCTAATGTATTTTATGAACGACCCCCTCAACCCCTGCGTCACGCCATGACAATCAGAGACCCACTGGAAACTAGCACAAGAAAAGCATGTCAGGTTGTTGTTTTTTTTGTAACTCGTGCGACAGTTCGCCTTTCTCCAGCACCCTAGCGCCACTGAAACCAATTAGCCAGGCTTTACGGATAGAGTAACGAGGGCTGCTAATTATCGGACATGGTGACGTAATTTGGTAGGTAAACAATAACAATCGTGGACTGTCTGGGGGTTTGGTGTGTATGCAAGAGTAGGGTTTTTCGAAATACCGCTTTCGAATGTACGGAAGGCTAGGCTATGTAGAGTTTGTTTTTGGTGAGAAATATAAGAAAACTTCAATAATGCTTATAGCAATGGACGTGTTTCCTATTCAAAGCGTAGTGAACTTGTATAAAACGTATGTAATGGTTTATTCAACTTTGGAGGATGTGTTGTTGGAAATTGTTGGTGTGTTGTTCTATGTGCTAGCGTATGTTATTCGATGTTGTTGGTGTGTTGTTCTATGTGCTAGTGTGTGTTTTTTCGATACTGTCGCTGTTTTGTTCGTTGTAATTGATGTATTGTTCGATGTTGTTAGTGTGATTTTCACTGATGTTGCTGTGTTGTTCAGTGTTGTTGGTGTGTCGTTGGGCGTTTTGTTGGGTGTGTTGTTCCGTACCCCACCCGGGTAAGTTAAGGCAATTTGGGTTCTATGCTAAGTAAATGATAATACACACATAAAAACAGATGTAAACTACTTCACCTGCTCCAAGACTGTCAAAGCTCCAATTCAAGTAAAGCCATGACGTAACGCTTAGACTGACATGTGCTCGATTGTATCATCACCGCGTCATATGCTTCCTGTTTTAACCCTTTCCGGGTCGAAGGTTAACGCAGCTGCACTCATTAAACTAATTATACGCGCGGCAAAAACACACGTACACTTTTAAACAACCGGGGGATTTTAAAAAAAAAGGAGCATGTGGATTTTTAAAATTACATTTTTACTTTCTCGGATACGAAGTATAGAGGAAGTATTGTAATTGTGCATTATATAAAATTTGTAGTTCTGTATCAACTTTACAGCGATTTCCGGTAACCGGAAGTGGAAGTTATTTACTTTTTCAAAAGCCTATAACTTGAGTACTGTTTCCAATAGATAGACGAAATTTCATAAATAATTAAATGATCTAATTATCTGTTTTCTATCAAATTTTGAGTAATTTCCAGTGACAGGAAGTAGAACTTTACGCTATTTCCGATTTCTCAAAAAACGCATGTAAATTTATAAAATACTAACGTTCCGCACTATTATACGCGCATTGTTTGATGTTCACTTGGTGCGCAATTCTTTCTTAAACGAGATTCTATTCTATTTTAAACAGCTTAAGTAACTAATATTGATTAAAAAGCATGTCCATATCGCGAGTGACCATCCCCCGTAGTGTATATATGCATATTCGAGAAAGTTTAGGGGAGATCACTCCCGTTTTAATTATTTTTTTCAAAGAGCCAAAAACTCTGGTGTATTTAATGAAGAATTTAAAAAAAATACAGATCTAAGATACAACGTATTGCGAGGACAATCCCTGTTTTGATGACAGCTTGTATGAACAGTGGTACGCTATGAGACGGCATAGTTGGGAGGTAGGTCGTATAACTGAACACCTGACACCAGAGTTTCTTTCAGGCATCTCTTCGCAACCCCCCCCACCCCCAGTTTCTTTCAGGCATCTCTTCGCCCCCCCACCCACCCCCAGTTTCTTTCAGGCATCTCTTCGCCCCCCCCCCCCCCCCAGTTTCTTTCAGGCATCTCTTCGCCCCCCCCCCCTCCCCCCACCCGAAAGTTTTAAGTTCCCCACCTCCAGAAAAAAAAAAGAAAAACACTGGCCAAAACGTTCGAGTCCCCGAGTTCACTCAGCTGTGAGGGGTACCTGACTCATGTTAGGGACAGTACTTGATGGACCTAGAACTGGCCACACTGTCTATTCATAAGCCGAGGTCACATAAACAGGTAAACTCTATCTTATATTGACCATCGTTTGAAAAAAATTGTTTAAAAAAAAATGTTTTCTAGTTTAGTGGTACCTCGGTTAACGAACATTATTTGTTACTGAACGGGATTCATCCACCTAAACGTTCGTTCATCGAATCGCGATTCTATTGGGGTGGGGGAGTTTACATATTAAAGTATTGATTTGTTGTTCAAACTTACATCGAATACTGAGAACAAAACTAATAAAACAAAACAAATTCACAAGGAGGGTAAGCTCACGTGTACGTTAACTCGCAAAGGTGACACAATGACATACAGAGGTGACACAACGACATACAGAGGGGACACAATGACATGCTGAAGTGATACAATGGCATACATAGATGACACACTGACGTGCAGAGATCGTCAGAAGGTTTTCATCCCACACCATACACACAATGTCACATGTCCACAGGCGCATACATGCACACATATGCACACACGCAAGGAAGAACATATATACACATATATACACATAGACGCCCTAACAGAAACATGCACCTTCAAAACACTATCCTGAAAGT